GAAGACTCCTCCTCCTCCGGGTGCCTCCGAAAATTCTTTGGGACTCAAAAACCTACTGGGGTGCGTCCCGAAACGACATTTCTTACATGTTGTAACTTGACACTGAGAAAGCTGGAAAGGAATTCAGTCTCTGGTCTCACCTCGAAGTCATGTCCTTGAGAATTTCGCAGTCTGGGCGCTCCATGCGTAGGAACAGCGTTCCTGCGACGAGGACGGATCAATTCCTTGGCCTTCGTATGTCCGTAAGGACGGGGGTAAGTGTGTGTATGTGTGTGTGTGTGTGTGGGGGGGGAGAGATGTCTCCACGAGAGACATCTAGTGCGTTCTCAATGAAGCTCTTGAATATCGCAGCCCCATTCTCAAAATTTTAATGCACGCGCTTCCCTAACACATCTCTGGCTACATGCAGCGTCCTCCATTCTGAAACCAGCATCTGGACATGAGCCTGCAAAAGTTTTATGAAGCCCATACCTGCTACCTGCTACTTTATGTATTTTTGCTGACAGAAAATAAATATAAAAAAGGATTGCAGACTCCGTAGAAAGAAAGAACTGTACAATCCATTGAGATTTTTAAAATTATAGAATTCTTCCTTCTATAGGGGATTCTTTAGAATCATATGCAAAATATACTATTATACATATTATATATATTAGATTGATGTATTATGCGTAAATTTATATAAATTTATGTAAACTTTCAAAAGAGAATTATAAGGCATTATAAGGAATTCCTCAGTAGAATTCATATGGAGGCATTCGATAGAACATTTTCACCTGGGAGGCGATTTTGAAATTTCATCGTCCTGACAGTGTCTTCTTCAAGCTAAGCAAAAGGTTCCTGCGAGATTTTTACGAAGAGGACTGCCAGAGAGTGCCGTTGCAGGGTGACGAGATCCTCGCGGCATTTTCGAGTCTTGGGACCTTTTTTTGTTCCCCTCTGGGGATCGAAACATTTTTTGGGTCTCCCAGTTGTCGTCTCGAACGCTTCTCGTAAAATCGGCGCACCGATGATTGCACCGAACAGTCGAGTCACAACACGAAGAGCGACCGTAACGGTTCTCCCTCCAGCTCTCAACGAGCGAGCGATAACACGAGAGAAATTAGAAAGGCAACGGCCGAGTCACTCCGCTTCTGGAAGAGCCGAAGGAAGCAGTCCCGCATTCGAGTAACTCCTCACACCGGACGGCTTCTTAAAGTTTCTTCGTGTTCACTGGTACTTCCAGTGCTTACGAAAGGAAAAGCGAAAAGAGGTCCCGATTCGCGATCGTCGTTCTCGTGTATCGGCGAACGGAAGAGAAGCGTACGAGAGAAGTGTCAGAGGCAAGATCCAAAATGGTGCGAGGAGACCCAGTGTCGTGTGATTCGACCAGGTCCCGTGTCGTTCGAGTCGATCGGCGTCGACCAGATTCCGTATTGCCTCGACCGAGGTGCAAGCATTCGGACGAGAGCTGCGGAAAGGTGACTCGGAATCGAAACTCGCGCCGGAGGACGGACCGGGCTGCCAGACGACTCCGAAAGATCCAGCGTCACCGAGGCTTCTGGTGCGGAAGCGGCTCGCCACAGGAGCCCCAGTCGGTACCCCAAGGCACCGGGGTGGACCTGGACCACGTCGGTGACGTTTTGATTGCAATTTTGACCGGGATGAGGTCTCGGACGGGGAAGAGGCCGATGGAAAGGCGACGGCGGTTTCGGAAATTCTCATTTCCGTGTGCGAGAGATTGGGCATCGCGGGGGCGAAAGACGGGAACGAGGAACGAGACTGCATCAGAAGATCGAACGTCGAGTCGAAACGGGTCGAGAGGCCTTCGGCGTTGCGATTTCTTAGTCGAGGGTGATCTCCCCCGGCGAACTTAACGATCGCGTTCGAGAAGAAAAAGGGATTCGAATCTCTTTTTCTCGATCGGAAGGGTGACTCGTCAAGTCGTACACGAGAAGGCTCGAGTCCAGTGCTTGGCAGGCACACGGTCGGGAAGTCACATCCCTTGATAGGCGGGAAGGGGTAAGGATAACGACGGGATTACCAGTCTTGTATTCTAGGAGAAAGGACCGGAAAAAACAGAATCCTGGCAATTCAGGAAATCAGGAACGGAAGAGCCCCCTCCTCCCCTCCTCCCTTCTCCCTCCTCCCTCCTTCCACCTCCTTCTGTCTCTCTCTCTCCCCACAAAATCCCACTATGTCTGCTAAGAGTGCTTTGATTCGGCTGAGAAGGAATGGGAAAATGTACCAGTAAAAAAAACTATTTATATTATATAAGTATATGAAAGTAATAATTATATTAATTTTCAACACGCAAGTTAAAGTAAATTTTAAAAAAATGAAATAAATGCCCAGAGATCCAGATCCGTTCGAGTGCGCTACCCCCTCGATGAACCTCGATGAACCTCGATGAACCTCGTTCCTGACCTCGTTTGGGTCGGAATGGAAAATTTCGCCGTTGAGCCAGGCCAACCCAACCTTGCATGAAATGCTCCATGTTATCAAGCCAACATTCAAAATCCAAAGCAATGTGTTTCATTTGAACGGTATAGAACAGAAGTCGATTAATCTCAATTAGGAAGACGCGAATGTTTCACGGGTAGCAGCTAGTTAGAGATCGATTGAATGTCGTACCGTGGCCCAATTTTTATTCCAGTGAAAGGAAGGTGGGGGTAACGAAGAAAATAAGATTCAAGGTCACGTCGGGCTGTCATGAGGCAGAACGACAAATGTGCCGTCGCTCACTTTCTATGGAAAAAAAAAGGAACCTCGAGACCGAGATTCGGGGAATCCCAGATTCCGCGAGGACGCAGAAGTGAATCATGGCTTGTTAGTAACGCAAATCCAGTTCCGTTCGTATATGAAGAGCGGAGTCTGCGCCTCCCAGCCATTCTCGACCTCCATCCGCTCCTCGCCGGTCGTCCATTCATCCGCCATGGGAGGTACGTCACGTTCTCATCGCGCTTTCCCGGTTCGTGCCGTCTGTGGTCGGGGGGGAATCGACGGGACCGGTGTCCCAGGAAGTACTGGTGGTGGTACTTGCTCTTCTGGCGGTTCGGCTCTTAAGCTATTAAAGCCCGCTTTTTAGATTTAACACTTGGAGTCAGATTTGATATGCGTGAGAGAAGAAAGTGAAAGTTCGCACTCCCTCGCTAAATGCAAGTACTGTAATGAAGATTACGTGGCTTTATTAGAAATAGCATACGATCGAGAGAGAATCTATAGCAACTTTATGGAATGCCTTTATAGGAATCGAATATTTCTGCAAGTTGTACGAAGAGCGATCTATACAATTGAATGGAATTGGCAGAAGTAGCTTCCGTAGTTTCCAAATAATTTCATAACATTTGGCATTTTTATCGTTGCATAAAACTATTCTTAGGAAATTTCGGAATGGTATTGTGTTTCTATAGACGCATTTAATAGGGTCAATGAAGTTTATTAACAGTTCCATGAAATTATGTTAACTGTTCCGTGGAACGCGTAAAAAAATGTTATGGGAATTCCTCTAGAGCAGGGGTCGGGACCCTATGGCTCATGAGCCAAATTTGGTTCACGAGCCGAAAAGTTTGGCTCATTAAGTCATGGTTGAAAAATCATGGTTGTTCCTCATTTTTCTCAGAAAATCTTTCCCTCGCAAGCCCTTAGCTCAATCTTAATATGGCTCACACGGCCAAAATGGTTGCCGACCCCTGCTCGAGAGACTTTGAAGGCCAGTGACGAGCAACCCGCGGCTCGCGGGCCGCATGTGGCCCACGAGGTCCTGGTGTGCGGCCCAAGGGGCTTTCCCAACTTCATTTTTTTCCCCTCTTGTCTGCCGCCAGGAGTAGAGCGCACGTGCGCGCAAGGATTCTATTGTCCACTGCAAGATATAACATAAATTCTATATTTCCGCTGCAAATATCTCCTCGCTCTCTTCTGGGTCAGCGTATCACTGCTCTCGGAGCAAGCGACTTGCTTGGTATTTTGCCCAGTAAAAATATGAGAACATTTTCAAAATGAGTTCTTTGCATATCATTAGTATCAACTATTTTACTACCTAGTTTACAAAGCCGGGCTTAGGATTATTTTGGTACTCTGCAGGCATGAAGCCTGTAATTCAGTATTTTAAAAAATACATACGGCCCGCCGGGAACCTTTCACTTGCGGCCCGCAGTCAAACAAAGGTTGCTCATCACTGTTCTAGGCCAATATATCATTTATTTTCATTTGGAAACCATTCTGCTACCGCAAGAAACTATCTCCATTAATACTGGAAAATAAAAATCGAAACTTTAGAATTCGTACACTCGTCATTAAAGGATTTTGAAAAAAAAATTTTTTCTCTGGGTCCAAGAGAGAAAGTTCAGGCGATGTGGTATCGCCATATTTTTTAAGTTAAACACTTGTTTTTTTTTTGTTTTTTTTTTTTTTACCTTATCCATTCGTCAACGTGCAGAATATGCTATAAAGCTGACGCTTGGATCGTTTGCCGACATAAAGGTATTATGGTGCTCGCGCTCGTGTTGGCGCTGTGGAGACGCGACGGGCTCGGAGCCGAAATGAACGACTGCGACCCGCGAACCCGAGACTTCCGAGATGACGTCACCCTCCTCCTCGGCCGATATTTCGCGCCGCCTCGCCATCCCGTCGCGAACGCTATGGACCACGAGAGAGCGAGCGATCTCGTCCGGTGCCGGTTCCAAGCCGTCTTGGGGGCCGAATCCACCCTCGAACAGCAGTTCCATTCCGATCTCACCGTCAGCGACATCGTCGTCAGGGCAAGTTCGTCTCAGTTTTTCCATTTCCGAATCGGCGCCGTGAACGTTGCAAAACGAGTACGGAATGCGGAACGAAATGTAATCCGCAAAATGAGGCGATGAATGGCATTTCCTCTCCCAGAATTTCTCTCGTATTTGCTTTGGATCGCGTATGATGTGGTTTGTGGAAGCAGTGACGTCACTTCCCAAAGCGAACCCGTATCTCTGGGCTCGAAATCGGAATATTTACACATTAAGTCCCACACGTGACGCATCGGACACATGAGGTTTTTTGCTTTCCGAGAGCCTTGGGAGTGACGTCACTTCCTCCTCTTTTCATTACCGGAAGGCTAAAACGACGGAAGACGTTTCAGAGAATCGGCCCGTGACGTAATTTCTCGTCTCTTCCTTCCTCGAGCGCGGAGGAACGTAAAACCGGAAGACGAGCCTCGAGGGGATTCCCCGAACGGTCGAAAAACGTCTGTATCTCGTACTTGCAGGCCAGAGGGTCGAATCACATCGGAATCCTCCGCGGGACCGAATGGAACACGAGTCGGGACGAGATCCTGGTGCTGGGCGCCCACTACGACACGGACGGATCCGTGACGTCGGGGATGAACGATAACGGCTCAGGAGTCTTGGCTCTTCTCAAGACTGCCGAGCACCTCAAGAATCTACCCGACTGCTCCCGACCGTCGCGGACCGTGCTCTTCGTTGCCTTCGACTTCCAGATTCGCGAATACGTGAGTGTGCGAAGTGGACCGATCGAGGGCGGTTCATCGTTTCGGCCTCGATCGCGTCCCGGGGTTAAGTGCCAAGGCGATTTAAACCTTTGTCTGCTCGTCTTGCATGCAGAAAGTGCGTAGATGAATATAAAGATCGTCCTTGAGGCGGGGGACACACCTGCACGTCTCCGCGCATACTTGGGACCTTTTTTTTCTCTCGTGTCGCTGCTAAGTGAAAGCGGGTTCCGCCCTCGAGGATGAATGTCATTTCAAAAGGATCTTGGAGAAACCTTGCAAATGGTCCAGGAGAAAATAATGGGCTACGTGATGGAGTATGACTTGATAGTAATAGCTCTGTGATATCATAGAGTAAATCAGACTTTCACCTAAAAATTTTCGCTAGTGAAGCTAAACTCATTGGTAAATTAGTTTATTTCTTTTTAAGGTTTGCTCTCGAGGAATTCTGAAACCATTGGAAGATTTGGGGATGAAACTTAGCGCGAGCGTAGCTCTAGCATAGAAGATTGGCAAGCAAGAGTTTCATAATGAAAATGTTCGATTTTAAAGCGGGAAAAAATGCAGAAGTGAGAATAAAAAGTGGCGCTCCTAGAGATATCTTTCCTTTCTGATGCTCTACCGCTTCAAGAGTGACCCCCTTATGTTTTCCTCTCTCCGTGGAACGACCGAAAGTTGGAATTAGCCGTTTCATCTGAGACTTTTTTTGTCACTCGAGGCGGAGGAGAGCGGTGGAACGAAGAATCGGCTGCCGGGCAGCAAGGTCTTCGTCGAAGAGTTTCTCGTTCCTCATCTCGAGAGATCGGGTGGGAAATTCCTCGGTGCCATCATCTTGGACTCCGTCATGAACCATAACGACACCCCCTTTTCCCAGATCCTTCCTCGGGGATTCCAACAGGTTCGTTCCCCTCCCTTCTTCGTCGACCCCGACGACGAATCCGCGTAAATGCTGAATCCTCTCCGTCGTTTGTGCAGACTTTTCCAGAAGCCCACGAATCGATCGAGCGGGGGGAGCGACGGGGAGATTTTCTTCTCGCCGTTGGGAGAGAAGGGGAAGAACGGGATCTCATGGTTTCCCTCAACAACGCCTGGATGCCCTCTTCTTCGGGATCGACTTCATCCGATGTCTTCAAGATCCATTCCGCCTGGGTGAAACGGGGGAATGCGAATCCCTCCGATGGCCTTCTGGAGTTCCTCAGACAGGATCATTTGCCTTTTTGGCATCAAATCTTGTCTTCGTCTTCGCGTCGTTACCCGGCCGTCCTTCTCACCGACACCGGTCAGGGTTTCATTTCGTGCTCATTGATAGTTGATGGATTTTTTCCAGAGCGAAGAACATCTAAATTCTATTAAATTCCATTTAATTCCGGTCGGTTCTATTCGAATCATTATTCGGAATAGATGATAGCTCTTGGGGGTAGCATAAATAGACCAGAACCGGAAACAACCGAAAGGTTGATGGTTTCCAGGGAAAATTGGTTAAGGGGGAAGGAAAGTGGCTTTACCCCTCGTTCCATTCCCATCTTTCGTCCCATTTTTCCCGGGTTCATTAAATTTCATTCTGTTTCCTGAATATCTTTTTGAATACAACCGAGCGATCCCGGGAACTCCACCTCTTTCGAACGATTGTACTAACATTCATTTTCACGTTGTGACGTTGCCATTCGCAGGCCGATGGAGGGGGAAGGGAAGCGCGTGTCGGACGCCGAACTGCGATCCCGTCGAGGACTTCCTCACTCCTGGGAGACTGGGGATGCTGAAGCAGACTGTGAAGGCGTTCGCTCGCCTCGCGTCTCAAGGAGGCTGCGCCAGCGCTGCAGGTCTCTTTCCCATTTCTCGCTGCTGACTGACGCGACCCGGAGGCGCTTTGTTCGAAAAAATGCAAATGCGCAGATCAGATTGAATCGAGGAAACACCAATAACTTTCAGACAAGACAATAACTACAGCTGACGAAAAGAGAAAAATAAATTTCATTCATATCGAAAAGAAACTGACCTCATAAACGGCATTGATCATTTAAATAAATCATTTTTGCTTCCTGTCCATTGCTAGGGGTGAACGTAGAATTTAAAAATATTCTTACTGTCGCAAGCAAAAAACTGTTAATCTTTTTTTCTTAAAACAATAAAATGATTAATTTATTTTCTAGTCGTAAATCGATCCGATGAATTCTTCAAGAACGCTTACGAAGCAATCTCAAAATTTTTTTTTCCTGCCCTAGTATTACTGCGCCTGATCACCAGCATCCCCTTCTTGGGAAACAGAAAGCAAAAGAAAAATAAATTAGTGCCCTTCTTCCCCTCATCGATTCATGTCTCTTTCCTTCTTTCCTTTGGCAGCGAACCTGAATTCTGGGATTTTGGGCTCTTTCGTCATTGCAGTCTGCTCTCTTATCCTCTGGTATCACCAGACGTGAACATGGCGTGTATGTCGATTCTGTGTCCTAGTCAGCTTCAAGATGGACTCCATGAGGTACAAGATGAAGAGCGAGCGGAGCCTTCTAATTTTCCTGCCACACCCTCCGTTTTTTTTACTGCCGCCGTGCGCCCACGAGTATCTTTTCAAGACTGTATTTCTGTAATAAAACTGATAAATGATTTTTCTATTATTCAATATCTTAGGCTGCTGAAGGTCACAAAGACAGCATAGGCTCTTGCTCTTCTGGTCACGGACGGAAAGAATGATTGGAATTTGAATTCCAGGCATGCACCATGCATGTTTATATGAAATTTCGTGGCTGTAGTCGTATGAACCAGGGCGATGTGGTCGCCAGTTGACGATCCACAGAAAGGCCACATTACTTGAATATATTGAGTGAACGCCCAGTCCAGATTCTATGACAGACGTCAATTGCAGTGGGCGAGAGCTTAGGCAATCCTTGTTTCCAAGCCTCCCATGAATACCTGAGATAATCCTTGCATGATAATTACATGGAACTGGTAAAGCGCCGGTCTTCATCCTCATGCAGTCTCTGTCTGTGCTCAAAGAGTATCTCAACCCAAATTATGAGACTTTTTGAACATGAAGATATTTGTTAAATACTCATGTCTACTGGCCACAATAAAGATAGCAAAAACTTGGTCCCTGAAGTAAGAATATTGGAGCTTTTAAGCTAAACATAGAAATGGTGGAGTTTCTCATCAGGAAATGCAGAGATGACTGCTTTGAGCGAGGAGATAGAAAAATTGCCAATGTCTATGAAGAATGAGTTTCTTTTTGATTATCCAGAAAGTAAGCTTATATCTGTTTTTCTGGAAATATGATGTACCAAAGTCAAAGTTACAGCTGATATCAATAATCATCTTATTATCAACTAAAGGAGACTGCACAGTATATGTCTAGGATCCTCTACATGATGCAATAGGATGATAAACTGTCAACTGAAATAGAAACACAAGTATACATATTAAAAAAATATTGCATTTTGGAAGATAACTGGAGAGTCTACAAAATGGCACTACAACAGTCACTCAACAACAGCAACACTGTACTTTGAAAACCAGCATAAAAAATGGACGGAATCATTTTGATTCACAAGTTCACAGCACAATTAGTAAATGTAAAAATCAGAGATAAGGGTGAGATGAGATCCTTCACAATGAAATTCATCGTATGGTAAGGACACAAATGAACAAATATATGATGATCGTCAAATGATACAGATCTGAGTCTGTGGAGGGAAAGATGCTGCAATGGAAAATGAAATGCATAAACAAATAGGTATATACATAAGCTACCTTTTGATTTGTCAATAGTGAGATATGTGTAGGATATACCAGTAATGGAGATGCAAATACACTGGAAACAAGTGAGGATGAATAACAACGCAGGCCATTGATCTATTTCTTGGGAGACAGATAGACATTCAATGGAGGGGAAAATTAGAATGGATGAAAAACCATGATTTCAGTAGCCTGTTCCTTTCTGACGACTTGGTATGTGGAATAGGCACATAGTGTGCAGTAGATCTGAAAAGAAAATAGAATCAGTTCACTGGGATTGCAATCAAAATATAAACACTACAGACATGTTGGCATATCGAGATGCTCCTGAGAGCATACATAAAGAGACTCACATGGAAAGCTGCTATAAGCCAGATGAGAAGAAATGCCAAGACAGAAGGCAACTGGAAAGCAACAAATAAAAAATGATAGAATATAGATTTTTCAAGCTTCCCCCAGAAAAGGTAGATGGGAATACCCAGGATTATATGACTTACATGAGTGTAGTAACTCCAGAGAATCCAAAGCCCAAAGGCAAGAAGTGAGAGTATGTAAATGATTGACTGGATGAGCCAAGGGAGAAGATAGCCCCTGATGCGAACCTTCACTCCTTTTATCATGAGGATAGAGAAGATGAAGAACACCAGGCAGAAGAGAATCATGAACACCCCTGCTCCTATCATGGCTACAGATGGAAAGAGGAGCAATTTCAATGAATCTAAGAGCATATAGAATAAATCAAGGGGTAAAGAGTCTCCAACTTACAGGAATACCGATCTGTTTCAAACAATGGTGAGAAGAAATCAGCTGAATGACCTCCCATCATGGCATAAATTGCATAGGTAAGGCCAACCACACTGATTGCCTATCATAAAATAAGCAAATAAAATTACTGCTCCTCTTAAGAAAATGTTTAATATACTAAAAAATAAAAGTGACATGAACTCACCATGGTGTACCATGCCACAGCATTAGTGGCTAGATTCAAGTCTTTGTAATGCAGCCATGGTGACCAACAACTATGCAGGACAGGCATAGTGACCCAACTAGGCCAATAACTTAAAAAGCCGGGAGCAAGTAAAACCTTGAGAAACAACATAAGCAGCATGTATTGGCATAGTTATATATGTTCAATTCATTCAGTTACTTTGTTGTAGTAAGCACAACATGTTTCATGTTTATATTTGAGACAAAAAATTTCCTTTGATGCTGATTCATAGGGAACACTTGTCTGCTTGCAAACCAGTGCCTATTTGGCATGGTTCCACAGTGAATCAATTTACAAGACTGATGAAGTAATGAATCTCATTTACAGGATAAAAGGGTTACAATGATGGCTTTCTTGGGATGAGGGGGGGGGGGGGAGAGGAATACTCATCCATGCCAGTAATAGTATAAGGCAATTCTTCAAAATATGATTCAAGAACAAGGAACCCTGATTATCATACTGTATTACCCATGTCACATAAACAAAGTTTCAATGAGATATTCCAACAGTTATATCAAATTCAGAACATATCATTCACTTTCCTTGTTGTAGTGCCGATATTCAGGTTTTAGCTCCCACATGTTCTTGTGAGGATTTTTGTGACTATAATTGCATACATCTTTCAGAATTTCCTTGAGATAAGCAACTGGCTGTTGAGTGATACCAACCAGATCTTTGATATTATAATATTGATGCTTTTCAAATGCTTGAAACAACATATCCATGACCTTCTCTTTCCCTTCCCGCATCTTCTTCCCTTCTGCCTTCTTTTGCTTCTGGTAGTCCACATTGTGCTTGTGATCTGCAACTGGTTTGTAGTTATTGACAATTTTGTCCAACTGCTGCACCATTCTTGTTGGCTGAGCAGCCTTGAGGATTTGCTCTTTTTTCAGATTCATGTAGGTGACATCCCCAACAGGCCGAAATTCAGTCCGCTGAACCACTCTCCCTTCTAGAGAGAGCTTTGATGTCTCTGGAATAACACTATCACTACTTTGATTAGGCACTGTCTGAGAGAAAACTACAAGTGACTGGGCAGATACACTGGAAATGGCCAGTTTATAGTCTGTCACAGTCTTCTCATTCTTGGCAAACTTGGCTGCTTCTGGATTTAGTGAAAAGGTGACATTTGGTTTTGTGCCAGGAGTCTTTGTGATCTGCATTTTCCCAACTTGCATGTCACTTGGGCTTTTGTCCCATATGTTTGAGAGATATTTTGGCACCTTCACAAGCCACACACCCCTGGCAGCATTGGTGCAATCCATATCTCTTTCACCCGGCATTCTATGAAAAACAATTTGAAATGTATGCATGAGAGATGGAGTCTGCCCAAGATCAAGGCCTAACTGAATGTATAATCCTTGTCCTTGAAACATATGTACAAGGATTATCTATAGAATAGCTGGCTGGAGAATAAAGTCTTAATAGAAAGAATAGAAAACAAAACAAAGAGATGAGACCCAAAAAATTTAAATTTAACAATGATAATTTTGTAGCTAGCACAGCAAGCCACCAGGCCTGCAATATGGACATTTAAATGATAGAATTCATGGATTGAAACAAGGCAAGAACAATGTAATCGAACTACCACATAGATAAAGGGAATTATTAAAGACACGTCTATGAAAGGGTGACAGCAGATTGCGCCTGGTGCTTGAAGGTCTCTATTACCTTTTCAATGCTTCAATTTAGTATATTCCCCTTGACTCTAGTACGACCAAGAAAAGGCTGGGCTTCTATTGACCTCTACCTTCATGCCATGCTATGCTCTTGGACTCAAAGAAAAGTGCCTTAGTCAATTGATAAAGAAAACTAAAGTTAGCCATGAAGAAGTTGCTAAGCATTGGTGGCTATTGAAAATAGAAATGACCTCGAAAAATTGCACTCCCTCAGTCTCCAATGTTTCCAGATAGATTCAACTGGAAATCCATTGGGATTCCTTTCATTTATAATAGACACGAACCTAACTTAACCTGGCCTATCTTTAGGGGCAACATAATATGCCTAGGTGGTATGCGCTTAACCATGGCCCAACATAAGTCGTGCAATAGCCGTGTTGGCATTAAAGAAAAAGAAGCCTAGGTTCTGATTAAGGATTGATTGTGGGAGAACCGGGCCCTAAATTCGGCCGAAGAGTCGCTTTAAAACCGCATCGCCGGAAAGCGAACAGGAAGAGATGAGACCCCATCGGAAATCTTAAAAGCGACCTGCGATGAGTCCGCAAGTGTCCAAACGAGCGGCGCCATGTTTATTTACATGGAGACTCCGAGCCACAGTGGCTGTAGCGATTATAGTCTCTCTCTTGCCTTCTACGGGAATGATTGACGGCTGGGTGGATCTTTCTCACTGATAGCCTAGATTTGGTGGGATATTTCACGATTTCTCTCGGCTAGTTCAGCCCTACAAACGCCACAACTTCGAAAAAATGCCGGACAGTAAGTTTTTCGGTGTTGGTAATTTTTACTTAACCTTTTAATAAAGCTCTCACTTATTGAGATAGATCTAACGTTATCATAATCTAGGCCATCATTGGACCCAGTATAATGGTATCACATTCTTGTATTCCAGGAGAATCACATGAATCCTTCTCCAATCCGATTGCCCCTCCAACACATGACCATCATGAGGACTTCAAGGAATCGTAAGACAACATGGGCTAGAAAATGCAAATCTTGCTTTCATATATTTATGCCAAAATATAGGACAGTGTATTGATATTCAAGGAAACATTAAAGCAAACAAGTCTGTCTAAGATCTAGGCTTTCACCTATATAATACGTACTTTCAGATGGGGCACTTTTCCTTCTCTTTAGTCAACCAGTTGAATCAGCAGAATAGATTTTGTAATGCATTTGCTTACTATAAAAGCATTATTCAATGAAGCTTGGACTAAAGATGTGAGTGCAAGGAGACTAGGAAACAAAGTAGATCCCATGCAGATCTTCCTGCAAGTGAAAAAATGCAGTTGAAGTTAGTTTCTTTACACTTTGACTGCCACAGCAATGTGGGCCTTTTGATTTTCCCTTTCAGTGAGGTGCACTGGTGTGCCTTGTGGCGGTCAACCTGTTAAATATGTATTGTGAGAACTACTATGAACTCACCAATGCAAGCCTGCATTGTGGAGTTGGCAGATACATGTTAGAAGTTGAAGTAAGATATTATATTATGCATTTTAAGTTCAGGCTAAAACTATTAAAGACTGGAATTATTAAACCATTGATTTGGAAGTGCTCTAAAAAGATTTACTGAAGGAGTTTTTCAATCATTTTTGTATTACCTGATTTGTCAATGTGTGCTGATTTTGTATTTGCTTTATATGGTACTTGATTTTTTATTGTTTGATGATCATTTTGAACATTTTTTCATTATTGCATGTATTATACTTCTTGGTGGACATAGAGTCAGAGGTTGAGATAAATTAATGAGCTTGTTTAAAAAAAATTTATTGAAGTATGTTATTAAATCATGGGACATTTGCTTCACAAGCTCTTGGAAGGGTGGAAATATAATATCATACATATCTAGAAGATTAAAAATTTGAAGTTTGTTTCAGACTGATGAATGATGATAGGTCTGCAGTTTCACTTCAGAGCTCAGACTTTTAGTTTCTAGGAACAAAGTTGGCTATTTACAAATTTTCATTCTGCAATCCAGCAATTAGAGAAATTCTGCCTTCACTCCTCAAGATTTTTTAAATTGCATATTTGTTTATTTCAATTTACCTCTTATGGCTCCTATGTCTTTTTGCATTATTCAGACTTTGTTCTTTTTTCCCTGGTTTTTTTTTCTGAGTAGAGAGCCATGAATTGGATAGTTGCTTAGGTCCACGTGAAAATTTGATGAGAACTCTTCTCTTAATCCTAGCAATACAAAGGGGGAAGGGGGGGGGGGGGGGGCTGAAAAGGCCCCTCTTCTCCTCAGCTTCCATCTCATTCACCGGCTTATCAAAGTATGACCGATGCATTCGCTCTTTCTCCTCCCTTTCATCTTTTTCTCTTCGATCCTTCCCTCTAGGGGGGGGGGGGGACTGACAAGGCCCCAAGTTTTAAAAGCATTCCTCTATAAAACTGCTACCTTGAGAGATTTTGTAGTTGTGAGACAGCTCCATTTCTCATCAGATTTCACAAGTAACATCAGTCATGAATATAGGTTCATTCTCTTATATTTATTGTTTCCAGACATCGCCTGACAAATGAAGACTTCAGGAAGCTGTTGATGACACCCAGGGCAACACCTGCTCATTCCTCAGTTACCCAGACTCCAATTCCTCACCATGCACATCATCAACGGATTGATGTGAAGAAGGAGAATTCAGCCAACTTAGAGAAAAGGAAACAAAAGAAGAGGTTCAGTTGGTTTTTTGTGTCCACATTAAGCAAATCAACCATCACGTTACTGCATAGCCTAGATTTTGTTGATCTATGCAGTTATTATGCCAAGTTGAAGCGGGATGAGGAAGACACTTTGGCAGAGTTGGCAAAGAAGTATCGTGACCGAGCGCAAGAGAGACGTGAGGGGATTTCAGGAACAGAGCAAGAGGATCCCCTTCAAATGTCTGCTGGATACAGGGCTGTTGCTCCTGATCTGAAATCGTAAGATGGTTCTCTGTTTCCAGAGCTCATTGATTTTTCAGTCAGTTCATTACTAGGACAAACTTCATTGAAAAATTCAATAGGGCCAGTGTGGTGTAGGGTGGGTTGCATCAAGTTCCTTTAGAGATATTTTTTGAGCTGAAACTGAAAGAAAAATGCCTGCAAGTTTTTTAATTATAAATGTCTTGATAGTTGCATCTTTAAGCCTACCCATCCTGGAATATGTTCTGATGTATATGTTAACTCATGTTTTCTGGTTATGGTTTCTTGCTTCCTGTGGTGGGATTGTCATTCATTAACACACAATTTTTTTGCAGTGGGATGGATGCAGCAGAGAGAAGACGGCAAATGATCCAAGAATCTAAGTTTTTGGGTGGAGATATGGAACACACTCACTTGGTGAAAGGTCTCGATTATGCTCTTCTCCAAAAGGTGAGCTTCTGTCTGTGGAATTATAGAATTTTCACAGAATAAATTTAGTTTTCAGCATATATTGTGTCTAGGTTCGAAGTGAGATTATGGTGAAAGAAAAGGAGGAAGAAGATGAGCTTGAAAAGCTTGCTACTGGTACTGACAAGAAGGCTGCAGCTGTGAAAAAGGAAGAAGAGGAGGAAAACCTGCAGTTCAAAACAAAACTTGGAAGGAGTGTTTACAGGTATCTGTGTTCTGGACAGAGGCTGCATTATTATTCATTATCACTGTCTGATTATTCACATTCTTTTACAGTCAATATATTTCTCATGTTGCTTCTCTAGGATTTTGTTCAAGACCATGCATCAAGAACGGAATGAACTGTTCTTGCCAGGAAGAATGGCTTACATCATTGACTTGGAAGATGAGTTTGCAGAAAGTGACATTCCAACTACTCTAATCAGGAGCAAGGCTGATTGTCCTAATATTGATGTGAGTATAAGAAATTCTAACCCATGTTCCTTTGTAAGTCTTGTTATGATCAATAACATCATGTCTGGATGCTGTTTTAGTCTGCAACCACGATGACCACCAATGACATTGTCATCAACAAGCTGACTCAGATCTTGTCATACCTACGTCATGGTCATCGGAGCAAGAAAAAGCAGAAGAAAGAGCAGGAACGTTTGAAGACAGATGAAAAGGTGAATAGGGACTATCATTCCCTCCCTTCAGTTTCCATTTTTTCAATAATTATCATTCCCTGGCTGGATTACAGGATCATGTCTCATCATTTCAGGGTAAAGCAGTGGAGGACACTATATATGGAGATATTGGTGATTATGTTCCTAGCCTTAATAAATCAGACAAGGATCGTTCTCGAGACAGGTATGTGAAGCTGTCTTTGATGGTATAAGGAACTTGATATATTGCTGACATACTTTGTAGAGGTCATTCTTTTGTCATATATGTAAGATTTTAATGCAATTTTGAAATGTTCTTTTTAAATAATGGTTCTCATTCCATATGAAATAATTGGTCAATTTGTGGCTGTTCCATTGATCCCATGAATTGCTTTTTCCACAACTTTCAAAGTACATTTAAGCATTGGCAAATGATAATTTCAGCAACTACTTTAACTTTAAACTATTTAAGCATAGGGTGAACTGAAGGGGTAAATGACCAAAGAGGAAGTTTGATTGTTTTTGCCCAATTTTTTGTCAACAGAATTGTGGGGTGAGCATAACACTGTGAATTTATTTCTGATACACTGGACCTTTTTCTTTTACCATAATGCATAATTTATGCATTTTGTATGAGCAGTGTTTGGTAACAATAGTTTTGAAGTTCTTTTCTAATCTAGGCATAGCCCCAAGAATTTTGCCTGCCTTTACTCATGTATTTGAATTGACCAAAATAGCAAGCTAAGCACTGCACTTTTGAAGTAGGTCCCTACCAGAAACTATTTTTTAAGTCTGCCCCAGCAAGCATGTGGAGCTTTCCAATCTTACTCCTTTTAGAAATTTCAAGGGAAGAATGGGGTAATATATCTCCCTGTCCAAGAATGTAGAAACTAACTAATTGCTAACCCCATAACCAGTACTTTTATGGGCTCAGACAATGAAGCTAATCTGCTACATTTTAGTGGAATTGCAGGGTATATTAAATCATGAGGGTCATTTCCAATGTTTTTGTTTTCATGGTGCATTGGTGTGAAGTAATGGGTTATTGAATTCCCCCCCCTAGAGGGAAGGATCGAAGAGAAAAAGATGAAAGGGAGGAGAAAGAGCGAATGCATCGGTCATACTTTGATAAGCCGGTGAATGAGATGGAAGCTGAGGAGAAGCAGAGAGACAAGGAACGAGACAAGCAGTATGACTGGAGGAATGTGAAGGTGGAGAAGGACACTCCTGCTGAGACCAAACAGCAGTGAGTCATTGCACTTCCTTGTTTACTCATCATTATGGGATGGGACAAGTTTGGATTTTTCTCAGTAAAAATGTCATCGTCCCTCATGAATTATCAGGCCTGGAAAAGGGAAAAGTCGGCGTGAGTTGGAGATTCTGTCGCGATCTGTGCCAGAGGGTTATGCTGAGTGCTATCCTGGTCTGGAGGAGATGAATGATGCCATTGAAGACAGTGATGAAGAGGTGGATTACACAAAAATGGACATGGTGTGTTATCCCTTCATTCCTCTTATTGAATTCGTGCATCCAGCAGTCCTCTGAAGTGACACCCCTTTCATGGATCTTATTTTAGGGATAGGAAAATGTTACATTCTCTATATATATTTATTGGAGTCTGTAATGTAAGAACTAAAGATATTCCTTGTGAAAATTCATTAGTAAAAATAAGGAACTAGAACATTTCTGAAAAGTTATTCTCAAACCAGCTTTGATGCCATTTTAAGCAAGATCTGAAAACGCCTCTTTGGTGAACTTCCAAAAACTAAGGGCATGACAAGGGAGAGGACAATAAACTGAGTGATCCAAAAAAAAGTTTCTGACTCTACTTGGCTGTCGATGGTACCAAACAGCATCAGCAAAAAATTTTCAGGACCTCACATCCTAAAAACATAAGTGGTTTCATGAAATTTCCAAGTAATTTCCAATTTGAGAGTCCTAATAAAAGCTTTTTCACAGATGATGTCTAATAAGTGAATGTGTTACCATGTGATTCCTTCTGCTTCTTTCATGTATGATTGAACTTTGAATTTCATGCTGATAACTTTTATGGTGTTCTGTCTGCGATCATGCAACATTTTGGAATTTTTAGGGGCATGGTATATAGCACATTAGCATGTAACAGCAGTGAAACCTGAAGTAGTTCTTATCAATTGAATCAGTGGTGCCATCTAATTGACCAGGGGCATAGTATGTCTACTGTCTATGTATGTGTTTGTTTGGCAGGGAAACAAGAAGGGGCCCATAGGGAGGTGGGACTTCGAGACACAAGAAGAATATAGTGATTATATGAGTAGGAAGGAAGCCCTTCCAAAGGCTGCCTTCCAATATGGAGTGAAGATGGCTGATGGTCGAAAGACAAGAAGAATCCCCAAATCTGAGAAGAATGAGAGGGCAGAATTAGACCGAGAGTGGAAGAAAATCCAGCGAATCATTGAGAAGAGGAAAACTGATGGTTCTGGCTTTGGGTAAGACCTACAGTATTTCCCAGCTTCTGATTCCTGCCCATTCTTCAGGTTGCTATGAAGTATATTCTACTTTTTCATTTTTAGATCATCTGAATTCAAGAAACCCAAGTTCTGAATTTTGTAACCAGTTACTGTGCAAGTACCCAAGTAGTGGTTGCTGTCCAATTGTTATGACCTCCAACACAGGAGTTGGGGTGGTTTATCTTTTTTCATCACCAGTGGTCAGAACTCATGGCAGTAGAAATTTCTTGCAAAAATATTGCTATTGTTGTGTGGAGAGCATGTTCATTCATCTTGGCAGAAGTGCATCATTGTTCAAGAATAGTTTGAAAAGACTCACTTGATTTGTAAGCATTGTGCATGTTTCCTTGAAACTATATCCTGATATCCCATATCTGGAGTTGCTCAGTCTTTTTTTCACTTCTCAATGACAGCAAGTGATGTGGCATGTCTACCTTTAGCAATTGCTATCCGAAGACATCCTTGTCATTCATCTGCAACTGAAACAGTCATAGTGATACACCTTTCCTAAAAGAACCTCATGTGAAATTTCTCAATGTTGTATTTAATTTCATTCATTTGGATGTGCAGCAATGTACTATCATGTTAGTGATGTATTCTCTCACAAAAGCAAGCAGTCACAGATCCTCATTGATGAGGAATCTGGGAGTAGAACTCCCTCTACCAGATGCTGTCACAGTTAGCCATTTTTGTTTATTTCAATAGTTAACCATTATATAGGTGTAGTCCTCTACCCATTCCCTGTTGGTGGTTGATTTGGTAATGGTTGATGTGCTTCTAGATCAAAATTTCAGTGCAAACCTTGCTCCTTTGAGATTCAAGCATATTCATTCTTGGCAAGAAGAAAACACTGCTAGATGAGCCACTTAAATGCTTCCTATGACAGCCAAGATAGCTGATGAAAATGATTATAGACTCTTGAAATCAACACTAACAGAGAATGACTGGCGTTTGGACTATTCCACCCAAAATTTGCAAGTATGGACAAAGGCCTCTCCATTCACTCATTGGAACATGATCAAGGTATGAATCCAATTGTGAATCTTGCTGTTTCTTCTATGGTGAGGCTCAATAATCCCTCGATTCTGATTCACCTTTGTGTTTGCAGCTGAAGGCCTCATTCCCAGATATTGATGCATCAGTTATGTTCGATGTCCTCCTTGATCCGGAGTACAGGAAGGTTTGGGATCGTCATGTTGTCATTTCTGAAGACATTGGTTATCTAGATGCCAACAATGATGTTGGCTATTATGCTGGTAAGTTAGTATATGCTTGTGGTCTCTCTCCACTTTGATGGACTTTACTTGTGATGCCCTTCTGTGCCCTTTGAAGTGAGATGCCCACCCCCAATGAAGAATCGTGATTTTGTACTCCAGAGATCTTGGCAGGTGATGGAGAAAGCCTACTACCTCATCAGCCACTCAGTCAATCACATCAGATATCCTCCTCAGCCCGGTTTCATACGTGGCATCACCTATCTTACAGGTGGACTGAAGTAAAATATACTAGAGATAGAGTGATTTATAATATTTTACTGATTATATCTATATCAATATTTATCTATAATTGCAGCTGATTGCTGATACGATGGCAAATACTGGCCTATATTTCTGAATTATTTATGAAGGAAACAACATCATCTTGATTTTCTCAGCAGAGTTTGATTCATTTCCAACATAAAGATCAACTTGTTAACATTTTCCCTACTTGAGGTTGCATGACTTTTTGTCATTTGAGAATTTGTACTTTATGTTCTCCCTGGCATCAACCCCAATGGCAGGGTATCTGCATTCAAAGGGCATTGTACATCTTACACACATCCTCCTTCCAGACTGTCTTGTGCCTTTGGACTTTCCCTGTGCAGCCTCTGCACTTTGCACTCCCCTCCCTTCACTATTGCCTTCATCATCCAATGAAGCCACACATCCCCATGTAACACTTGGGAGTACTGACCATTTCTGTATCAATCAAAAGCATAAACTAAAAAAGAATTCTGGAGAGGTAGCAGTAGCCTATTCAGAATCCCTGAAACTTTCCTTCTCTATCCATACAAGCTTGCATTCATGTACCCTAATGTCAAGTTTGCCGAATAATGGCTTCATGACTCATGCAGGCCTATGGATTCATGTGTTTCTGATCTATGCAGGAATGGGGTCCCGATCCCACTGCTCTCACTTTCAGATATCATGCCCCCTCACATGGAGCAGCAGGGAAACAGGACTTAAAGTGTTAAATGTGGGGATGTGACTCCCCTAGATCAGTGGTGTCCAATAGGATTTCGATGCTCTCCAAACTTGTGGTGACCAGATCACCATATTCACCACATTATACAAAATATATGTACTATTCATAAAAAGAATGCTCATTCTTTTGAAATTAGATTTGGAGTTGTAAACTGTTATCAATCAAGACTGATTCACACCAAAATACAAAGTAAAATGTGGTGAGTTGCGAACATATTGGACACCATGGCCCTAGATGATGAAAGGAGGGGTCTGAAGTGTCCATGGAGAAAACAGGGACAGTCCATAGGGGCATATTCTCCTAAAAGGGGGGGTTGTTCCAAAAAACATATAATGCAAGGTTTAGCCTAGGGCTAAAGATTAGGGACTATCATCTTGGACTTGGCTATTCCCCTTTGTGGCTTCATACAGCTATGAATAGGCCTAGGCCTATGTGCCTAACTGAGAACGGGGAGCAGCACTAGAGATCCATATCTCCATACCTTTAGAATGGCAATATATTGGCTTATGTGTGCATGGCAGGGTTACCATAGGGTCATGGAAAAGTTGGCTGTGGTCATATTTTCTGTACCAGATTGACAGAAATGAAAGAGCTAATATGAATATCAACAGATATCAGCATAATCACATCAGTTGATCTCTGAAGTACACTCTAATTGTCTTTTCTTGAGTTTGTCTTATATCAATTTGTTTCCATGAAGGCTACATATTGAAGACTTCTAATGATGGAGGATGCAAGATCTGGTATGTCTCTCATGTGGATCCCGGGGGGAGTCTCCCAAAATGGATAACCAACAAAGTTACCAATTTCATTACACCTCAGGTACTGGGATTTTCCTTGGTCCAGGTCAATTCTGAAGTTTTGGAGCCCACCTGCTTTTCAGAATGAAAAGACATTCATACATTACAGCTGGTGAAGAAGATATTGGAGGCAGGGCGTGATTACACAAAGTGGAAAGTCAGAAACTGGCCAAACCGAAAACCCTGGCTTCATCAATCTCAGATCAATATAGAAAAAATCAATCTTAGAGAGGTATGTATTTTTTAATTCAAAAGGCAAGAAATGTGTGATTTCATGATAGAATTCAGGTATAAGGGATCATGAATCCTTGTTTATAGTGCATTCCAGCAAAAGGTGAGACTGCGGTTCATATCTACATGGAAGCTCATGAGAGAAGTTCTCAGACCTCATCTCATTCTGATGCATTCTCTCATGAAACAACAAGAGAAAGCAAATTTTCTCAAGAATTGACTCCAGAGAAGAGGCCAAGCAGGCCCAGACTACCAGTTCAATGCAAAAATGCATCACATTGGAAGAGAGGAAAACATTCCTCAGATGATTCTTCAAGATGCCTGGGATCCCAACTATATGGAGATTTACCTTCAGAAGTTGAAGAACTCCACGAGTCATCCACCTTGTAGACTTGAAAACCACCCGTTTTTCCCCGTAGAAGCTGGCTGTCACCCTCCCATTAGGTTGCTAACACATGAATGGCTGATGTCTCTCAAATTCAGAGCCAATGGCAAAATATTTTTCTTTGCACTATTGAGGTAGAAAATACTTAAGTACTTAGAGGCATTGTTTAATCTCTCCCATTATGGAGAAGTGAGTTTCTTGTGACCATCCCCGCCTATTTCAATTCTTGGAAGTTGTATTAATGAGAGATCGGTGATTCTTAAAGCTATTTGAAAACCCCATCTGAAAGACATATTGGACTTGTGTTTCTTGCATACTTTTGAATCTTTATCATGCTGGTGTTTCTGTCTGAAACTACTGGTCTCTAGCTTTGGCTCTCGTTGATATTGAGAAGTTCTTACCTCATCTCTCATTTTGTATTGTTTGATCTCAAATAGCTGTGATGGTTCATGTTTTTACTTTCTGCTAGTTCCAATTTAATTTTTGCTAGATGTGGTTCACACTGAAAAGTTTTAGAGAAACTACTTGAGTTTTATAAATGTTTAGAGAAAGTTCATCATGAAGGACAAACTATTCCTACATGTCTTCTCCAACAAAGTTCTCTTCATGGTTTCCACTTTTATACACAGACTTGCTTGCACTCACCTTTTTGCCTGGTTAACTTCCAGCTATACTAAGATGCAGTGCCTTTTGTATATTTCAAAATAGTTGTAATTTTCCCTGTGGTGGTGATTCATGATTTTAAAAAAGGATTGGGTCAGGGAACTGTTCACTTTGGGGTTATTTTTCATTGCTGGTGGAGTAGCATCTTATGCATGGTTAGAGGGTATTTTATTGAGTCAACAAACTCTCCCTCCACCTCCTTCCCCTTCATGCTTTCCAGGATTTCCATCTTTTTCTCTCCTTTTTATGGGAAGTGAAAACTTCCTGCTATAGAAATTTTAAATCCAGACTGGTCGATCACATGAGATCAATTATAGCACTTGTTTTGTGACCATTCTCCAGCCATCAGTGATTGTCCACCCCTGCACTGGAAAACACTGAGGTTTAATGATGTTTAGTGGTTTATTTGTGTCTTTCTTTTTTCTCCCTATCTGCTTGTCTGTTTCTCTTTTTCTTCATAAGGAATGGGAAAAAGCAATTCCCATGCCAAAATCAGCTCCATTCTGAGCTGATATGTGGCATGAAAATGGACCCTATATTGAAACCAGAGTCTCTTATATTGTGCCAATCTGACATAATCTCAAGTGAAAGTGACTCCATTAGGCAAACCAACTTGAGTGAGGGTCAGGGGCATAGCAGCTGTTTCCACAATTTGGCACTCATGGTTACCTGGAGTAACCTTGAGGACCAAGTTGAGTCTTCCAAGGTTAGTGGCTAATTGGATCTTAAATGTGGTTATGTAGATGCAGGTAGGGTTAGCCGAAACTCTTAACTGAAAGTTAACTGAAAGTACTTTCACGGACCTTGAGCCTCTAGAGCAGGGGTGTCAAACTCGATTAGACTGGGGACCGGATGGAAGCCTTCAGGTGTGATTAGGGGCCACTATAAAAACATAGCACCTAATTTTTAATGCAAACAGGCTGAAATTTGCAGCACTTTTCCATAACCAACTGTTGAAGAGGACTTTGCAGACCAGACAAAATGGACTGGCAGGCCACCAGTTTGACACCCCTGCTCTAGAGACTGGTGGGCTATCATATCATATTTTATCATAATGTGGCATCATAATCTCCATCCTCTGATAGATGTAGCACTTGTTGCATTTGTGAGTGTTGTGGTATTTCTCAATGTCATCCTCTTACTCATGTGATATACTCCTACCTTAGGGAAATGATTGCTTAAAAATAGTCTCCTACTATCCCATTATGAAAGAAACTTGAATGTGCCCCCAGAGCTTCTTGTTAATAACAGTAATCTTGTCTTTTGTTTCTGTTCATTTCTTGAAACACTGTGCCAAAGTCATGGTGAATTCTTTATTTTGAGAAACCTTTCTCCATCTTCTTAGATTATGTATGGAATACATGATGATTCTTGCAGAAATCTTGACAGAGCCATTGAGAGAGATGGAAGGTTCTGTCCTTAATCCTGTTTGAAGCTCACTGCTTTTCCAATGCTGTTTTCTTAAGGCATATTTATTGCAAGTCTAGTTCACAATGTTATCTCAGTATTCTAAGCCATGCATGAAATGCCGTGCACAGAGTGTCTGGAAATCATTAACTATTTTCTGCCACTGCCAGTCATTTATTGCACATAGTGGTGGACAAGTAGAGTGCTGACATGTCAGAATTAGACTGCTAGACATTGAAAAAACACCAGATCACTGCTTTTTGTTTCAAATGACTGTAACTTCCTTAAACCATTCTTAATCACTTTAAGAACAGTTATTTTGTATTGCAAAATTGTTAACATGATTTCTGGATGCCCTGTATTAGTACTAGTCATTACCATGATGACATTTCATGACTGTATTTTTAGTCTGTCTTGTTATTTTACTGTTATTTTACTGTTATTGTACTTCTCGCTTCTGGTCGTGAAGGAACTGGTAAAGTTGAAGGTAAACATAATACTCAATATAGACAAAAATATTTTGTAGATTTTAGTTTCCCAAAGCAGTTGTTTTATAGAGATTATATTGAATAAATGTCATAGTATTCATATAAGTTTTCTGAAAATTTGTTCATGTATTTATGCATTATTTTGAATTCCATATAACCATCTACATGATTCCTAAAATATATTAAAATGCTGTAGAATTTCTGTAGAAGCATATTATAGAATTCCTATGGAACCTTCACCTGTGCTATAATGAAAAGATCTAGTCGTCCATAGGAAAGAAACTAGTCCAAAGCTCTTTCTTGATCAGTATTTGCTTTGACTTTGGGCAGAGACTTTTCCCACTTGATATGTAGGCCTGTTTGACATTGAGAATGGTATTTTATGCAAGTAATGTGATCTGCTCTATGTTTATGGTTGTTGACGATTTATGCCAAATTGAGACTTTTGTGATCTCTTTGTCATCACTCTGTGATCGTTTCACTTTGCATTGTTGTTGCATTGTTGCACTGCGTAGTGTTGCACTTTCTATGCGATGCTTGTTCAGAGAATAAATTTCCCCCATATTGCATTATGTTGATCATGTAATCATTTACTCATCATGCATTCATAACTTGTAAGTTAGTGAAGTTTTTTCAGATCTTTCTCATCAGCTGCAACACTGATGCTAGACTGTTGGAGTCATTATAGTTTCAAATTCGGCTTTATGAGGTCAGTGTAAAATCTGCAGGAGAAAGAAAAAATTGTTAGATTGTTTGACTAAACCCTTTCTCGTTCTTCATATCCCCCCTTGGATCTCAAACACTGGCGTAAATCTTGAACTCTTGCTGCGGAAAATCACGTGGCCCAGGGATCCTAATCTGTACATACCTCTATAGCTTTCTAGAGGATCATTTAGTTCCCAGAACCGCAAGGACGATTTCGCTTCTTTTTTTTTTATTTCATCAGCCACGATGCCATTCTCGTTCCTGCGCTGGAGCCTCACGGAAGAATCGACGAAATTCAATCATGGCATCTAAAAGCATTTTGTTTCGGACCATAATTACGGAGATTCGTTCGATTGGAAATCCTACAGATGTAAAAGAAACTGGGTGTCAATGCTGAGCATCGCTTTAGACCCTCCTGTGTACTTGGGCTGAAAAAGTCTTTCGGATTGAGCTCGTACGCTCGAAATGCTAATTCCAGCATCAAGCCTGTTCATACTATCCAAAACCTGAATAACTCAATTCGAAAAACTGCATCCAATAGCGCAAGTTCAACTGGATTCATCGTAAAACTGGTAGGCGTATGACCTGCCAATATGACGACCGGTATCCTGGCCGATCTGTCGCGCGTCTTGTTCTTCGGAAGCCTTCAGGTATAATTTATTCGCATTGCAAGAATTTTGTAAGGTGGCTGGTGATTCACTTATCGGTGAAGTGGGTGCCCATGCTCATTTCGCAAGAAAAAAGTTTTTAATTTTAATTTTTTTTGGCCTTATAATGCCATGATCTTCCGGAGTCGTTACGTTGGTGGTCTAGCACAGGGGTTGGCAACCTACGGCCATATCCTGTCCACCAAGCACGCCAAGGAAAGTTATTTATTTTATTATATTTCATTTATTCTTTTCAAAACATCCTCCCTCCTCCGGGTAGATCAGCACCACGATCAATTTTACACTCCGGCCCGTCATAGGGCCGAGCCGTGTTAATCCGACCCGCAATTAGTGAAAGTTTGCCGACTCCTGGTCTAGCAGATTAGCAGGTATGGGGAGGAGGAGGAAGAGCCATATTCTAGGTTCTGCGGAGGCATTTGAATTTGAGTGATCAGGTAGAGCTTGAAATCACGAGTGAAACACATTGAAATTTAAAAAGCGGCAGGAATTGTAATTTAAAAAATACATACATTTTTGATACCACCTATCCCAACTTAATGGGGTCGAGGTTCAAGCATGTCCAGGAGCATCCTCCAATGAACTCGATCCTGGGCAACCGACTCAAGCGCAGCTGGTGGGAGGCCGAACCTCTCGAGACAGAGCCAAGTGACGTAATCGCTCCACCTTGTACGAGGTCTACCGACAGGTCTTCTGCCGGTCATCTTGGCCTGGAAGACTCCCTTTTGGGAGTCTTTCAGAGGGCCTGCGGCAGACGCATCCAAACCACCTGACCTGAGACCCCTCGATCCCGAGAAGCAGCTGCTCCACGTGGAGACTCGCGGGGATAGCCGAGTTCCGCATCCTATCACGGCTGGCCACGCCAGCCACTCGATGCAAGAACCTCATTTCGGAAGCTTGTATCCGTGATCTGGTTCTTTCGGTCACTACCAAAAGTTCATGACCATAGGTGAAAGCGGGGAAGTGCTCTTAAAAACCGAGAGTTTCGCAAACCTAGAAACTTCCGATCCAGCAACCACGGTTCGCCAAAGTTCCCGCAGCACTACAGAAGCCTTGGAGATGCGATTGTCAATCGCGTTCCTATAGCCCCCGTCACTTGAGAACCAGACCCCGAAGTACTTGAACTTCTCCACCAGTTCCAGTGGGACCTCACTGACATGATGTAGGCCTACAGGATTTCTCGAGAGGACCACGGCCTGTGCCTTGGATACGCTCAGTTTCATTCCGTTCGCAGTGCATTCGAAGTCGAACCTATCGAGCACGCTCTAGAGCTCCTGTCGAGAACGGGTCAAAAGGATGCAAAATTGTAAAATAAATTGTAAGATGAAACACCAGGCCTTTATTGCACGAGAGACAATGATATTCGTGAGAATGAAGATACCTGGGAACGTTAACCCTTCTTCTGCCCTGTTACACCCTAGTTTTTCATTTAACTCTGACATCCATGTCGAAATGACAATATTTCATTAAGATCCCTGAATCAATATGGGGGTAGTGGATGACGGTTGCTGACGTTCAACCGATCAAGTGTAATTGGATTATTCCTTCGCATGACAATTGTAAAAACTATTCACGAAGAAAAAAGCAACACCACTCAATGCCTGCTTGCGCAATGACAAATCTGAGAGCTCTACAAAGGTGATACGGATTTCTTTCCGCTCTTTCGTAAAGGCGGTAGGTGGGCGGGAGCGACGGATATGCCGAATCGAGTATGCCCAGCGTGTATTCGTAGAGCGCTGTCGGAGTCTGCCAGTGTGCGATCTTGAAACCAGTGAGGGGAGGCGTGAAGGCTGTTCCCTGATATTGAGGCAGATGGTCTCAGTAGGCCTATGAACGTTTGTATCGTTCTTGCTGCAAATTGACACACAACCGTAACTGGTGCAGTCTAAAATCGAGGAATGGATCTCGAATATCGACTTTGAACTCGAGCTCGCGAACCACTGTTCAGTCCATGAATCAGCCGGATTAACTTTCATTAGGATTTCTGCGCTTTAGAAGTACGAAAAATCATGAAAATTCGGAATTTTGATCGATGGATGCCATAATATACAGTATTAGACAAAAGCCACGTCTTATAGGCTGTGGAATTTTTTTTTTAGCACATGTTCGAAATGCGCGTCATCGAAAGATAGGCACGCCTGCACAAGACGCTTCCACAGGAGGACCTCCGAAGTAATGGGAGTGATACGTGCACTGATGCGATCCTGAAGTTCGTTTATTTAGTGCGGATGTGATCACTGAATCATTGACTTTAGGCTCCCCGCAGGCGTAAGTCTAACAGTCAGCTGAAAGGCCCACACGATAGGTCCTCAACTGCATATCCAGGGAGCTGGAAACTGTTCATACCTGCAGTGGCGTGCCCAAGGGGAGGGGGGGGGGAGAGTTTCGGGGTCATAGCCCCCCTCCCCTTAGGGGACATTTTAAAGTTTCGATTCTTAAAAGGAAAAAAAAATTATTTGTCATATATGCAGGGTGGGTTGCCAATTTTTCGTTTATCATCGGGATTTTCTGGGCTCGATACTGCATACCTATATAACAGGGCTTCCCAACCTTTTCACGGGCGATCCCAAAAATCACCATCATACAGTGGCGGCTCGTCAGGGGAGGCAAGGGAAGCCCGACCTCGAAAATTCTCAGGGTACCCTTCCAAATACAAATTATCCACTAGGATAGCAAATTACTGAAATAAGTCTCTGATACTCATTGGATTCATTCTCAATTGACATAAAATGAGTGAAGTCCGGTCTTTGACAGTTTATTCCTGTCCGGAATCGCGTACGGGAGGCTGGAGCCTGATGACCTCCTGTGGCTCATAGACAATGCATAGGGGTATCCCGTCGCACTAGCAATACAATAATAGTGTATAAGAAGAGGGAAGCCGGCTTCACCGTCTGCACGTTGATTTAATTTAACAAATTATTTAGGACCAGAACAGTGGTCAATTTGTATCGCCGGTAACAACTACACTTGGGGAGTCTTGTAGGACGGCAAGAGAGAAAAGCCGAAAAAACACCAAGGAAAAACTTGATTGCCGGTTAGGTGTATCACTACACCAGCGAACCTAGGGACATTCACTCCTCTTCATGCCATCCTCATCCATCTGTTTGTTACCAACATCGTTATATTTCTCCTGTTTATGCTCCCGTAGCTATCTAAAACGATGAAGGCTATGAGATTTGGAGAGGGCACAACATTGCACTTCCATGCTTATCGTGCCATTCTGAGAGGCGGGGAAAAAAATAGGAAAACCTGGACTGAATATTTCTCTCCTGATTTTAATTTTAATTTAAAATAATTTGCTTGGATCGGGTCGGGTCGATGCATGAAGTTCAACCGGCAATTTGGTTTCAAGTTGGGCGAAGACCAAGATTCAAATCGGGTCGATCGGGTCTGATTCCGAAAAATCAGCCAGTGCAGGTATTGCACCAAATTTGCGTGGACCTTAGTATCGTAGCATCGCGTTACTAATCTTGAGTGTCTTAAGTGTTGGGTATTATCAGGTATCAGGAAAATTTTACTGTCAATCATTCTTGCTCATGCCGCGAAACCATAGTAGGTAAGACGGGGAGGATTCCCAAAGTATCCTAGAGGATCTTATAACCGAGAATTCGCTTTAACTTAACATGCTTGACACGAGTAAGAAGGGGTCGACATTCAAGGTACATCTGCTTGAACCTGCGTGGTGATCGAGTCTGGGAGGGAAAATCCGCTGTCGGAATCTGTCATAAATTTGACAGGATACCCTGAGAATACCAGTATCGAGATTCCCCCCCTTCAACTCCATAATGATATCATACTATCAATGAGACTGGGATGACACCAAAGGTATCCCCGAAGACCCATGCCCTTGTCTTGTCCCAGAATAGAAATGCAATGTCGATATTCTGTCCGGTTTGGTTTACCAGTTAGGAGTCAGGAGAGTTAGTGACATCAAGAGGCGATTTCGCCCATTTCGATATCACGTGTCGAGGTCG